TGGCTATGGGTATTGGAGGAGTAGCACTTCCGTTAGCTCGGAAATTTATAGTACCAGCAGCAAAACGTATTGGAAAACAATTACTTGTTCAAGCAGCACCCGAATTAATAGACATAGCAACCAGGAAGAAAACGCCCAAACAAGCCTTGAAAAACACAGTAAAAAACACAATCAAAAAACAAGTTGGAGCTGGACGCAGTAAGTCCCATATGAGCAGAAAACGGAAGAGAGCAACAACAACAACAACAACAAGAAAAAGAAAAACAAAAGCTCTCATTCCACAGAAACGAACCCCACTGAGAAGTCGGTCCAACTTTTTCACCAAAGTACGAAATTATTTCTAATTTATTGCCAACTGAAGCAACTCACAGCTCATTAGATTTATTTGAAAAACCTCCTCTACTCGTTACATTTGAAAATGCGTTCACTCAAAAAATTGGTCCATCTTATTCACCTGATGTTCCTATGCTCGAATTTGAAGTTTTAGGAGATAGAAACAACTTTATCGATCTTCAACGAACTCGCTTGGAGATTGTAGCACGCGTTGTTCAAAATAATGGTAATGTACTGCGAACTCATGCTACAGAGGCAGCACAACGAGACACCCCATATTTGGTTAACAATCCACTTTCATCTTTATTTTCCGAATGCACAATGTCCTTGAATGGAGAAAAAATTTCAACAACCAATGCCAATTTTGCCCATAAGAGTTTCATTGAGACCGAATTTTCACATGGTAATGATGCAAAGAAAACATGGCTTGCTTGTCAAGGTTATTATTATGAAGATAATCCATCAGGTATTGATGGTGCTAATGGGCGAGCTGAAGTTGTCGCTGAACGTAAACGAATCGTAGCTGCATCAACCGAATTCCGTTTATTTGGTAAAATTGCTTGTGATTTTTTATCATTTGACAAACATCTTATCAGCGGTGTTACAATAAGACTTTCTCTGAGACGATCTCCAAATGACTTTGTTATCATGTCTGAGCATAGAGATAAACATTACCGTGTTGAAATCACAGAGGCTAACCTATATGTGCGCAAAATGATAGTAACCATTTTGTGCTATCGTCGATAGAAAAAACTCTGTTGAAAACACCCGCAATATACAATTATATTGAAGTTTTACCGAGAACTTTTTTGGCCACAACTGGTGTGCAAAGCTGGCGAAAAGAAGACGTTTTTGCCAAAAAGCCAGTTCGTCGAACGATTTTAGCAATGAGCTCGAATACAGCATACCTGGGAACTAACCGAACAAACCCGTTTCATTATCAAAAATTTCAGCTGAATGAAATCATTGTTTACTTAAACGGTCTGCCCATTGCAGGAACTCCTGTGTCAACGACTGATAACAAAAGAATATACTATAACACATTGGAAGCTCTAGACTTTGTTTTCAACAATAGTCATGGAATCAGTTTGGCTAATTATCACAATCATTATATTATGGCATTTGATCTCACATCTACTCAGGAGGCTTCACATGACTTTATTCATCCTGAATTGACCAATTGCACCATTTCAGTAGAACTGAAGTTTGATGCACCGCTGGGGGAAAATGTAGAGTTACTTTTCATGGGAGAGCGTGCATCAACAGTTTACGTGCGTTCCGATAGAAAAATAGCTAAAAACACTCTAATGAGTTGACTCGGTGAAAAAAAATGGACAATTTACAGATTATTGAGCTTATTCACGGATGCAAGCATTTGAAACATCAATTTTGTGGCATTTTCCCCGCTAACTTAGCATTTAATACAATATTGAAACGTGACAATACTTTCATGATAGTGAACGCATCAAACTCAGACCAGCCAGGAACTCATTGGTTACTGTTTGCTCAAGCTGGTGGTCAAATTTTTTTTGCAGATCCTCTTGGACGAAGCCTACACAACTATCCACATGTATACAAAAATATGAGACGTTCTATCCATGAGGGAAACCAAATACTGATGAATAAGCCAATCCAATCAGCTAACTCGGTCTTGTGCGGACTTTATTGTATTTATGTTGCTCATGTTATAATTTCATCTAAATTTGCTATAGGTTTCAAGGTTAATGACCATGACATGATGCGTTTTGCTAAACATATGATGTTATAACTTTGTGATACTGATGCATTTCTTTTATGATTTATAATTTACTTTTAAGAAAAAAACATGTTTTATGGTTGCTAGAACACTTGCCTCTGGCGTTATCGCAGGCTCTAAAAACCGTTTTCAGAGTTTAAATTTTTTTTCCATTATAAATTTAACAAACAAAGTATTTGAATCAATCTCTAAACGACCATACCCACTCAAAATGATATCAATAATTTTAGAAAACTCGGCGGCATTATCACCATTCAAAATATTAATGAAGCGTTCAATTGTTACATTAGTGATTAAATCAGTTTGAGTTTGAATGGATCGAGTTTGTGAAGCAAAGCAAACTTGTGGCAATCTTCTTCGTAGAGAAGCACCACCAATGTCAGTTGAATTGTTAAAAGAATTGTTGTAGTTGACAGCAATTTTTAATTTTTCCATCAGGGGTCCCGATAGGTGAAGTTTACTGCAACCCAATATTAGATGCTTGAAAGATGAGAGTAGACAAGGTACAACGAAAGTGGTTGAGGTCATCTTTTTCACTACGTCGACACAATCCTTGGTTACTTCGATGAGAACATGGATGTGGGGATGGTCATTGTCGAGCAATTGGGCGCAAGACTCGTTCTGAATTGAGTGGGTTGCAAATGCAAAATTTGTGTTTAGAGGGAGTTGTGAGGCGTCGGGTTCGTTGTTCAGAATAAAAAATTTAAAATTCTTTCGAAATTTTTTAAAAAATTCAGGCGACTGCTCATACATTGCTTCAACCATTCTGCTGGTTAAATCAAATTATTCAAACGTTTTTTTTTTCTGTTTCAGGCAACTCTACACTTTTTATTATTCGAGTATTCATCATCAGCATCGTTTTCATCGCCACTTTCAGCACATTCTTTTTTGAGAGGGACTAATCGTTTTGACGTGTATCGTCTTTTATGATGTTTATCATTTACAGCTGAGGAGGATGAGGAGGAGGAGGAAGAAGATGAAGTCTTTTCACCAGTTTGTTTTTTAACCAATTTTTTAATCTTTGAATAATTATCTGCCAAACAATCAAATTCTCTTGTCGTTAAGGTCACTGCTTGATAACATTCAAATACACCATATTCATTCTTTTTATATAACTTAACTGTGATATATGTACCCGTTTTGTCAAAAGTTTTCGTTCCAACCCGTACAATGCGTTTTTCTCCCGAAGATATATCTTGAAAATCATCGTAAAAGTCTGCATCATTTTCTAGCTACGAGTACATGGTGGTGGTGGTAACGGATGTGACTTGTTGGTTCAACTGTTTTATGATAGAATGAAATGAATAATGAATTGGATAGAAGATAAACAAATATCTGTGGATTTACTTTTATGGCGCCCCTTCAGCCTATAGCGGGAGAATTTAATTAGTTTTTGCAATTGGATTTGTATAAGATAAAAGCGTGTTTATTGCATCCGTCATTTCTGTCTGGAAAGCACTTGAATGGGTCATAAATCTTCATACATGTACTCACTTTGAAGTGGAGACCTTTAAAGCCCCTCGTCCGGGGGACATAAAAAAAAGGCGTCATGCACTCTATTTGAAGTAGAGATAGCATTAGCTTGCATCTGTCTGGCAAATTCCCGTTTTAGCTCATAAACCTCAACGTTTTTATCCTGGCGGCTTGCATGTTATCTCTTTGAAGTGTAAAATTTTTGTCATTTTGTGCTTAGGGTATCATAAAAAGGCGCCATGCTGTTTCTTTGAAGTATAGATTTTCAAAGCGTTCACATTTCTACTTAATTGCAAAAGCCCTGAAAACATATTAAAATTTCACAAAACCAGATTTATGGTAATTGGCTAAATTTTAGACCACCAGCAATAAAAAACTAAAAGTGGTAGGTCAAACTAAATCTACTCACTATTTTTATTCAATCTCTCAAAATCAGTCAATACAAAATTTTCAACGATGGCAACTCCACTGCAAATCATTTCAATTAATTCTCTTGAAAGAGCTATATTATACCAAACTTATACCAGAAATTCTATCGTAGTGATTCAACAGGAACGGAAAATGCGTCATCGAAAAACAAGTCCTTTCAACGATCTTGATCCAGGAAGCAGAGAATTCGATGAATGGGTCACTAAAAACCATATGATGTTACCCAACTATTTGCTAGATCAAATTGGTATACTCATACAAAACAGAAAACAGGTCTACGAGAGTTGCTGTGTGACTGAATCGTATCCTGCGCTGAAGCGCACAGATATTCAAGACCCTACTTGCCTTGATCGTTCACCGAGAAAAATACTGTTTAACTACGATTGCCAATCGATCCCCTTTTACGAAAATCAGGAAGGATCCATTAGAGATTTAGCAGAGCGAGAAAACTACTGGAACATTGAGTCGATTGATCACCAGATTCAACAGAGAAAAAAGATGAGGACCAGCAGACGCCCAAAACCCCAATAAAACCGGATATTTTTTCAATCACTCAACAACAGCAGCAGCATACTTCTTCTACTTCTTCTTCCGGCAGTCAAAGTCCCACTGC